AGACATTAAACTAGTATTACACTGCAAGAAATATGACGCAATTTTTCCACTTCACACATATTAGTAAAGAAATAGACTAGCAGAAGTAGTAGAAGTAATGTTCCAGTTCTTCTTCAGACATAATGTGTAAGCAGTTACAGTATAAATGAGTGAGGCACCAAAATATACTTTCTTTGTTTTATAAGAAAGAATGCACAACATGATCAGTATGAGTTAAATTGGATATGTACAAAATATATGTCATCTAATTTATTAGTTGGTTAGTGTTAGAATAACAACACAATAACATTATTACTACGATTGTTACGATTTATGATAACAACCGGTTAATCAAATTACTAGATATGAATCAGCACGTAGACATACACACTATAACACTCAAACGTTTACAGATATAGCACAATCAACCATGCCATACCGTTTAAAACAGCCAATTCCATTAGCTGTAATTGTTTCAATCTGTCCTCATTTTCTGGCTATAATGATGAAAAATGAGAAAGTAAAGTAAATCTCAATTATCAAATAGATTTTGTTTAAATATTCTTCTCATTGTCAAAACTTTTGTTTTCATATTCATTGCTTAACAGAGATTAATGGAGAAGAGTCAAAATTATAAAGTCACCCCTCTTCAATTTTACACTCATTCCCATCAACACTTCTTAACGACGAAAGAATAACGTCAAATACTTGTTTGTATACTGTCTGAGTTCCTTCGTTATTACTTTAAGGAAGTAACCGATCGTTCGTCTAAAACGAGTCTTTTCACCAATATTCTCCCTTTCATCACCACTGCCATTGAAAACAAATGTAAATTCTAGATATTCGATAGGAAGTTTAAGAAAAACCTAATCCCAGGGTAACACGATGCCAAATAAAACTGTTAGATACCGCTATCTACAACTTTGAAGGTGATTACCAGAGTATTAACGAGGTTATTAAAAGGGAGACATACTTTCCACTGTCTCTATTTTTATATCGTAGCATTCTCACTCAAGTAGACAGAGGGATTCTTGGTGAACGATAATAGGCATAAAACCCAAGTCTGGTTTCCTGCTAGTCGCCCTAAATCAACTAACTGTTTGATTGGTTACCTGAGATGTAGTGTATTTGCTTTCATTCATTAATGTTTACTAAGCTACTCCAAACTTTGTGACGCTTCATTTCTACTTTGAAATCAATCATTACTATGTGTTTGGACAGGTGACAAAATTTAAAACGCTGAGTGCTTCTAAGGTCACCATAAACGGAATTAAGTTAAATGAATAAATAAACCAACATTCGGTGTAGGTTAACTATGAAGAAAGAAAATCAGGCTTCATGTATGTTTGATCTTCTTTTGTTAATTAGTATGGTTTATTAGTTAGTCAGTGCATGGGGATGAACGTTTATGGAAGAAAGTGATCACTAGACCACTATCTGCTTCAGCTTCCATAGCAATTTTCTACGAAATATTGTTGATATTCGATCATGATATGTGCCTAGATGCCTCATATCTCTTGAACGAAGTAAAGAGTTAATACAATTGATAACAGTAGCACTAGTTTCAGCAGGCCAACTTACTGTTTCCAAAATGATTTAAATTGAGCTGGATCTTACATAAATAACAGCCTTCCGAACTTGAAGTATCCATTCAGATAGATTCGTAACTTAAAGTGAGATATATTAGTACCTCTATATTATTTGGAAGCTTGTTGAGATCCAAAAGATCACCTTCTTCCAGTTCTGTTTCAACAGAAAGGGTGCTATAATACTTTAAACCGATAAACTATTCAATAAATCATACCAGAGATGGTAACACGGTGCCTCTTTTTTCTCGTGAGATAAGTGAAATATTATGTTCAGGGTACTGAAAGCTGAAGTGGCAATTATAGCATGTATTCGCTATAGGTGTTTTATTCTTTTGAAAACGTTATGAAAGGCTTGTACACATTCAGTCCCCCCAATTAGTACAGAAATAATAAACATAAGACACCTATTCAGTAACATAGATAATCTCCCCAGTAATCTGAATCAATAATTTCTGAGGTCAAATCGAGTTGATCAAGGAGTATTTTATTCTATAAGTGGAAAGCGAACGATCGTATACAATACGCACGTGTATATCACTGGAACTCATACGGAGAAACCAATCTCATACAATTATTGAGCAAGACATTCAAATTGAGTGCTTTTAATCGTACCGTGGAATAGTAGACCATGGTTTTGCTCAATGCAATGGTTATGACAAGCGCAAGATATTATTAAGTAATAAACGGGTCACTAGAAGTCTAATGGCATATTTTGCAACTCCTGTAGCAATAAGATAATTGTCAACCCCTTTTGCACGAATACGAAAACCTCACCTAATAATCATTGTCTCAAATAAATATGCGGTGGTGAGTATCGAAAATATAATTAAACCAGACAACGATTTCAAACTCAATGAACAAAGCACAGACGAAATCTCAAGAATCAAATGCCCAATGGTTTTGAAGACTCTTTGAAAAGTCCATTCATTTGTAGAATGTATCACCTAATTCAATTTACCCCATAATGGTATAGTGAAGTGATTCAGAAAAACTATCATGAACATATCTTCATTATGTAACAAGTACTATGTTTTATATCCTCCACAGTAGACAGATTTATACGGAAAATCCATCATTTCATGGCCTGGAAAATATTAACCCATATTCATAATTAATAACTATCATTCCAACCTTCACCTTAAAAATAGTGGAAATTCATTCGAACCACATAATAAAAGCTTGGTTTGGATGTCTACCCAAATTAATGCTTGGTTCATTTATCTTTTGTTTAAATGAAACAACATTCAATCTTAATTCAGCTTTAATTTAGGATGTCAGTTTCTTTTAAACCAATTTATTTAGTTAGGTTTTCATGACTGTTCGTTTTGGTTTGTGAATTCACTGTATTTTTACTTCTGAGTTCTACAAAATTAAGATCTTATTGAAAATATGGGATAAGTCAGAGATAACCAAATAATGTGTCTGTATGCAATAAATAAACTTGTGAAGTGGTGAAAATGAATATGGGTGGAATGAACAGAAGTTGTCGACAGTATATAAAGTTTAGGAGAAACTTGTTAATAATTGATGTAGTACATTGGTCATTACAAAGAACTTCCTTTGAGTGAAAAATAGAGCTTTTATTGTGGTTAACTTAGAACAAACGTTTGCATTAACATCGACAATAACCAGTGTATCCAATAAAGTGGTTCCTGAGAGGTGGAGTAGCAGTTTTTTCATTATTTTGACTTCAGTGGCATCCCTTATCGGTCATCATTAAGCTATCTGCACTACTAGCTGTCTTATGGAACTGAACGTCATCGACTAGATATTAGGGTCTACTCAGTGTGCTGTAATCTCCTGGTTATCGGTTTCAGTTTTTAAGAAACTCGTCCACATTTTTGTTCATTTGCAGTATTTCAGAGATTATACCCATGTAATGAATCGCCGCTTTTTCGCTTCTTTTTAACTGCTATTCAGTGGTTAAAGAAAACCGGCGCTAATCTATCAATAAATTTTGTCTTGGCTATAGCCTTTCGCTGAGCCTAATAACACTATCACCCTGGCGCTACTTTGGAATCGATTGGTACAAATTTTAGAACTGCAACCAATACACGACATTGCTCAGGCGTCTACTAATACCAGAAGTTATAATCTACCCTGACCTTAAAGGAAGCCTACAGTAAAAATGGAAGGCTTTTTAATAAAGCTTAAGGATGAAACCTAAGTGTCAATAATTCCCTATATTTCAACAGTTTAACAATGGTATTGCATAGATAATAGTTTACTGGCCAACTACAAGCTGATGTCTAAAATTACACATCATAATTCTGTTTATTTTGAAGTATATATTTTATTTTGAGCAGACCAGTCACTTCAGTTTATTGAAATTACTCATTGCAAATACTGGAAAGTTGCTACACATTTGTTACTGCTACTATGATGGTTGCATACAAAGTATGAAAACAGTTCAGTATTTCTGTATGCATGTTTTACGATTGTACTATGGGTGTAAAGCACTATTCAAGTAGAAAAAAAAGATGAATAAAAATGGTATACAAAAGCTGCCTTACATCTCAAATAGCAAGTAAAATTAATCCACGTGCAAAAGTACCTCTTCATATGTGATTAATGTACAAAAGTAGCATACAAAACAGAAAATAGACACAGGGCTAATCATCGGTCAAATTTAGTGTCCGTCATAATATATTCCATCTGCTTAACTCACTAATCTCGACAACAAATGCTTTATTTTAAAATCATAGGTGGGTGGGTTTTTTAATTTCAAAATTTCTTACAATATAGCTCGTGAAATAACAGTGAAAATTCACATGCCTATTTACCAATCTAATAAAGAGTTGAACCTTAAATCCATTGTCCACTTGTTTACACATGTTCACTCAAATTAAATATAAAGTTCAGTTACATTCCTGAGTTTTTGAAATTTTATATTTGCGATCATTTTAACCATTGCACGCTGATTTTAGCATTCATAGGTGACATCCCCAGTCAAAACAAATGCGTGTAGGTTGGTCTATTCACCGATGATTAGAATAGTCTGTGGTGGTATAGTACCGAACATCTGGATAGAAATGTTTTGACGCTTACTTAAAGTTGTTAGGTGGACACGTTGTCATCCAAGAAGTATCTTCACTTTCAGTAGCTTCACCTCAACACACTCATGTGTACATAATCAACATTTTGCAGAAGAAACAATAAAAATAACTGGATAATTATGTTGCCTAGCTAATCCCTTAAAATTATTGTTCATTACAACAAGAACTTTTCTTGAATATTTTTCCGTAATGACAGAATTTAGTAGTATTACAGTATATCCATATACTGAAACAACAACAGCAATATAGAGGTAGAATGAAATTATATTCCCTTCTCACCCAAACAGTTTCACTCCAGTCATATATATATATATATATATATATATATATATATATATCCATGTACTTACAAACAGCCAATTACATGTAGATGATTTGTTGTGCTACATTGAAATTACAAATAAACACTGAATAGGTTAGATAATTCACACAACGCTGACTCAGATGTTTGGGTGAAACCCATGCAGTCTGTTTTAAAATAAATCACAGTTGATATCTAGTAAGGGTCTGGGGAAGAACATACTCTGAACATTGTTGAATCACTTGAAAGCTCAACTGTTGGGAACTCTTGTTTTAGAATGGGCTATTAAGGAGGCCATACATAGGTATGCTATATAAAATAAAACAACCAAGAGCTGTATGGACTTGAAACTTACACTTTTGTAGTCTTTCAATAGGCCTAAAACACTTTTCCCACTGTAGTGGAATAACAGCCTACCACTGCCCAAATTCCGCTCTTATTTTATTGTACATATAAGTACATACGGTTCAGGATTGAATGTTTTAGTAGAACAATTTTACGAACGAAGAAGCTTTACCAAAAACAGACTAATGGCAAAAACACTTGTTGAT